AAGATAGTGGAAACATCCACAGTTTATGGGTTTGGTGGATAAAATTAAAATAATTATGAAAGNTTAGGAAGATGGAATTATAATCTTTGAAAATGATGTTTGGATTGGAAAAGAGAATAGTTCGAATAAGAAAATTCACAATTTGAGATGTTAATGAATGAATTATATAGAGAATCTCGTATTACTTACTATATATTTTTATATTTATAAATAAGAAAAATTGTTATAGTTTTTTTTCATTCTTTATTAATTATTGTAATTATGAAAGTTTAGGTCTAACATTTACACCGTTTTATATTTTAAATTATTCTCCATTTTCTACCTATAACCTTGGACCTTTTTGGTAAGAAATTTTTAACGTACATCCACTCACGATTATTTTTATACTTATTATGTCTCCTTCAGTTTTCTTTCAAAGTATATTAAGCAACACTCAGGTAGTCCTTCTAGGTTGTTTTTCTAGGTTGTCCACTCAAGTCATCTATTCAGGCCGTCCACCCAGGACGACCACCTAGGTTGTCCTCTCATGGCATCCACCCAGACCGTCTATTTATCCAGGTCGTCCTTATGGGTCCATCTAGGCCTAGGTTGTGCCTAATATGACTTAATAATATGGTAAGATTATCAACGGTAATGACTCATTAAGCTCTTAATGCAAATTAAGGAGCGTTACTCCCTCCACCACCACACACTGCTTCCTATACCTCCCTAATTTTTTTTAATTCCAAAAATATCCTTATTTACGTTTACCCAACCTTAATTTTTACTCTCTTATTCACTGAGTTGCACACCACACCCCCACCCCCATCCCAGACTCTTACTTTCTCTCTTCCTCTCTTATTCTCCTGGGTTCGTGCTGGTGCTTGATTGGTGGTGGGTTCCTGCTGTTGCTTGATTCATGGTGGAATTCATAGTGCTGTAAGTTTGGTGCTTCCTTTGTTGTTGTCTCTGATCCAAGTTAGTGATTCTATATGCACCTCTATTTTGTGTTAAACAAAGAAGAAGAGAAACGCCAAAAGTTTGCAACGGATATGGGACATCCGTTGAGCCTTCAACGAATCTCGATATCCGTGGATGAATCTCAAGATCTGTTGAAGACTTAACGAATGTCCCATATCTGTTGAAGCCTTTCAACGTTTTGGGTGTTTTCCTCCGTTGACGGTCCAACGGATCTCTTTGTTGAGACCTTAGAGTTTCATTTTCTTGTTTTTTTAGGTTATTAATTTAATTTATTTCGGTTGTTAATTTTTGTACATTATTTTAATTTAATATTTTCTATATTATTATTTATTTATAAATGAAGTGTTTGTAAAAGGAAAAATAAAAGAAAGCATGGAAAGCTGAACAAATTCTTTTATTTTTTTTACTTTTTAGTTTATTAATTTATTAATTTGTAAATTAATTTTTAGATACTTTTAAAGTTAAGTAATTATATTTTAATTATAATTATATTTTAAGTAAATTATGTATATATAATAAAATTAATTTTGTTTTATTTAATGAATTAATTATTATTAATTTAATTAAAGTTAATTGATTTTGTTTCGAATTGTTTTATTTTTAAAGAAGAACAGTTACAGGGGAAAGAAAAAGAAGAAGAATTTGATTTCCGTTGGAAGTGGTGAAGTGTGAGGGTGCATTCATATATTGGTGGGAATCATTAATGAAGTGGTTGGAAGTTGGAGAAAGTTAAAATTTTTAACCATCACATTAAATATGGAAGGGTAAAAAAAGAATGGGGAGGTGCAGGAAGCACTATGTGGTGGTGGAGGGAGTAACACTCCAAATTAAGGTGTTATTGGGTCGTCATTAGGCCCGTAAAAGATAAAAGTCCATCACAACTAATATAAATAAAAGTCTCAGGTATGACTTTAGGGGATTATGCGCATTATATGTATCACCTATTGTAATAACCGATCGATTATATTACTGACTTGAGCGTCAGAGTGTCTTTTGACAATTACTCACCCACACGACTTTGACAGGTAAGAAGGAGAGCGAACAACGTATGAATGACCACTAAAAAGCTCATTCAACTTTCAAGACATACTTAGAGTAATTTGAATAAGGGACCTCAAATCCAAATATATAACATTATACATATTCTTATTATAAAAATATTTAATTTCTTCTACCAATAGAATTTTAGTTGATTGGATTAGTCACATCACACAACATATTTAGGAAATAGTATTAATACTGATTTTAGTTGTTTTAAAATGACAAAAAAAAATGTTTAGAACTTGAGTGGAATATATTTGAAACAAGAATTTGTAAGAAAAATCTGAAAAACAAACCATTTTATGAATATGAAAACTTGTAATTCATGAATATTTTTAACATTTTTATTTCAATTTCTTTATCTTTTATGAAAATGTTTTTTTTTTGCTTTAAAATAAAATTATTTATTTTAAAACTTTCCTTTCTGCAAATTCAATCAAACAAAATCTAATTCTGTCTATAATCGATATATTATATATATATATATATAGATATTATAGATATATCTATAATATATATATATATATACTATATTATATATCTATTATATTTATATATTATATAATTGTTGAAGTAATTTAATTTTTGCAGTCATCCTCACAAACATTTTCAATCTTCATTAATAGTGTTTGGATTCACTCCATGTCTATAATCAGTTTTGGAAAATAAAACTTTGGAGCAATGTTAGAAGTTATTTAAGTTTTCATGTTGGATTAGTGTTACATAAATCTTTTAAGAGAGAAAAAATAAAGCACTAACTTTAAATGCAGTGCCCTGATACCTTATCACTTAATTTCTAAAACTTTTTATTTTTAACGTTTCCGAAAAAAAAAACTTATTTAAATATTTATAAGCCTCATCTTATCAATAATGACCAATGAAGCTTGTGTTTTTTTTTATATTTTAATAATTGTGTAGAAGTTTTTACTAAAAAAGTCGAATTAAAATATTCCTCATATATTTAAGCTTGAGTTGTCATTAAAATTAATAAATAGCCTTCTCAAATTAATTATTATATAGTTAAATCAGCACACTTTTTTTATTAAATGACGAGTTCAAAATAAACTCAATAAAAAAAGGGAAATATGTTATAATAACTTCACCCTTTTTTTCTCAGATTAGAAAACGAACCAGTATTCAATACCACACCTATGAACAAAAATCAGACATAAAAGGTGTAGAGAAGTTTCAAATACATATATTACAATGAACATGAGTAAAATCAACATCTGAAATAACATTCTCTTGAAAGAGATTATCGCAAGTAAGAACCTTATCTAGAAGCATTCTTGATGATAAGTTAAACTACCTTTGAAAGGGAAAACACTTCCATATTTATCAAACATAGTATTATCTAAAACATAATTAGCTTGGAGTAAATTATGAGCAGGCAAAAAATCAAGAGAAAATTTAATAGAATACTCACAAAGTCTATGATTTCTCCAAAATCATCCATCAAGAGAGTGACACTAAACTTAGAGTACATGTAACATTCACCCCAAACAAAAATTAATTCCTTCTCCAAATGTAATTCCTGACCACCTAGCTTTCTCCTAACATCTCATATAAAAAATTACAATTCCTTATTAGATAAACCATTTAGGATAAGTTTAACTTAAACAGATACTAATGATTGAAAATATGAGCATAATTATAAATAAAACCAATTCATAGTATAAATGAGTGTGAATCTTATCTTATAATGTTTGATAAGATTAATCAAAGTTAAAAATCTTAATTAATGAAATTTGTAGTGTATTAGAGATATTGTTCCATCTAGTATTGAATTATCCACAATAAACCTCATATATTTTATTAAAAATATAACAAAAACCATTCAACAAAAAATATTTTGATTGAAGGATTTTTTTTTTCTACTTTATTTTGTGATTAATTTTATTTTTTATTCAACAAAATAAGACGTCTCATTCTATAGCGATCTATTATATTATAGCAGTTTCTTTTAATATAATTTGCAAGGGTAATTCGTGGTTGCCTATTGTGTCAATCATGTAATTGAAAAGCTTAGATGGAGAGATGTTGCCGACCCAATTGACATTTGATAAATTTAATCTTTCAGAATGACAAGATTTACCGAGAAGAGAGAATATGAGTAGAATTCAACAATGTTGGTCAGTTTTTTCTTCTACATTTTGTTAGAAAAAAAAAAGCACCTCATTAGAAATTTGCTCAAATAATTTTTACACGGAATAAATAGGAACGCATACGAATTAAATTAATTTATTCTCAATCATTCAACAATTTTAATGAACTTTTTATTTTATTATCTAGGAAAATAAATTTAATCTGTTATTTTTATATATAATTGAATCGAGTGTGATTGATAAGAATATAAGGAGTGTGCATCTGATTCTGCGATTACATGAATGTCTTCAGGAAGGATTAAACAGTCATTTCATAAAGTGAAGTTTACAGAATAAACAATGAAAAATTTATTAATATATTCGGTTCTATGAAAATTCAGTTTAATTAATATTAATTAATGTGAAGAGTTTAAGGTGAGATGATTTTTTTTGTTATGTACAGATGAGCTATACAGAAGTAGAAAGATGAACTATATTGTAATAAAATAATGACAATATCTTAATTTGATAAATAAGTTTGTATAGAATACATTATGAAGAACCCAGACAAGTCTATATTTAAAGTCATGCGAAAAAGAAAAAATCCATTTAAATATTGTACAAGTTTTAACAAGGGTTTTGTTTGTTTTTTAATTCCTTAAAATATGAGATATATATGGACACAAGTTGAGGCGATTAAATAAGACAGGACATTGGTAATTCGATAATTGAGAGAGAGTCGCTTGAAAAACATTGTGGGACAATGCACGTGTATTCTAATAGAGAGTGTGAGAGTGTGTGTAAAAGAGTAGAATAGAATAGACTACCTTAAAGAAAAGGGAAGGAATAATAATTTCCATAGTAGCAGTTGACCAAGTACAAAACCCTTGTCCTGGCCCTGCTCAATTACCCTTAAATTTCTATGTTCTTTCCAATCACTGGGCATAAGATTTGAGGTATTATGCGAGAAGAAGAGGCATAGTTAGGTATATAGCTAGGAAGCAGACGAATCAAAACACCACTCAGTGAGTCAAATTCAAATTGGAAGCATTCCAAAAGTGGAATATGGAAGGAGAGAGAGCTGCTGCTACCAATTATGACCTTCAAGTTTCCTTCTCCAACACCCCACAACCCATACACGAATTGGGTTTTGTTCACTATGAAGAAAACCAGCTCCTTGGCTTCTTGTCACCCTCTTCACAATCTCAATCCTTAAACTCCGATGTAGTTGTTTCTTCTGCCACTACAACTGCTGCAACCATCGGATTCATGAATCACACTCAACTTCTCACCAAAACTTGGAATAACAACGACCAGGTGCTTATTCATTTTCTATTCTACTTTCCAAAATTCATTTCCTTAATTTCAATTAATACTCAATAAACTCGATCTTAGGGTATTATTTTCAGAAGGATTTTTCGCTTACGCTATTGTTTCAGGTCGAAACTCTGGATCCAAAGGCTGTCGATGAAGAAAACTGCACTGGAAACGCTAGTGAAGGAAACAACAACTCTTGGTATATATAACTATTTCTATATATTTATGTCCCTCTTTCCTCTCTTATCTTCCCTTTCTCTCTCTGTCTGTGTGCATGCACGTAGATATTTATTTATATATCCAGTTAAAGAGATATATTCTTTGTCTGAATTCAAGGTTTTAAAAGACAGTTCCAATTTTTTTCCCAACATCGAGATTTTTTGAGTTTTTGTGATAGTATTTTGCAAACAGTTTGGGACTGTGTGCCGCATTTACCCACAAGTTTTAGTTTATGCGATCACATTATATATTTATCTCTACAATTTTCTGCGACATCAAGAACTGAAACGAATCACAACCCTTCTGAATCCTTGACTTCACATGTTCTCTCTCAGACAGATCACTTGTCGATTTTCTTTAATTGTCTTTGTTTTTCTTTCAATTCGGGTATAAAGAATATTTCGAATGAAGTTAATTACGTTATATATTGTTGTGGTAGGTGGAGGAGCGCAGCTTCGGAGAAGAACAAGGTGAAAATAAGGAGGAAGCTAAGAGAACCAAGGTTTTGTTTTCAAACAAGAAGCGATGTAGATGTGCTTGATGATGGTTACAAATGGAGGAAATATGGCCAGAAAGTTGTCAAAAATAGCCTTCATCCGAGGTAATATTCAAATCTTCATTAATCATATATGCATTTTAATTATAATATATTTCTCAAGCCATGTATTTTTCTTCATTTAAATGACCATAATGAGTGAATATATATATATCTATATATAATATACTCCACGTGAAAGTTCAAATTTTTTCTAAACTATGAAATGAGTCATTGATATACGTTTTGCAAAACTGAATTTAAAGCAGCAGTTGGTTTGGATAAAAGGAAGCCATAATAACTAGGATTTGAACTGAAGAATTCTTCTCAACCACCCAATCAAATGACATTCATTGAATATAATAATTACAAGATATTGAAAAATAAATAAATATAAAGTATGTGATATACTTTTGGTGTGTGAAAGTGTCTATGAACAGAAGTGTTTGTGGTTGAGTACACTGGCAATATCAGAGGCATTATACCCGGGGGAATGAAGGTAAAATGTCTTTTTCTGGGAAAAGTGTGTCGGTGGTGAATAATTTAAATCAAATCCTGATCACAAGTCACAACATTTATCGGCATCATTCATCTTAGACTTTTGTTTCTCAGAAACAAATGGATGCTACAAAGTCTGATGACAAAAGAAATACAGGGAATCTATCACCTATATATATATATAGAAGGAATCATTCATTATCATTTCTTTCAATATATATACCACATAAAATGCAGAAGAGAATAATGCATTGTTGATGCATATTAACTAAAGATTATAATTCCATCTTCCTAAGACTCTATCATTAAATTTTCGATAAAGATAAAATATAGTCTCGAGAATGCATATGCTAATTATCTTCTTCCCAATTATCTATCCTTTCAAAATCTTATCTTTTTGTGTCATGATATAATATTTGCTTCATAGTTAGTAGTCTATCATTCTTCATATATTTTTTCTATAGTCAATATGTGACACTATGCTATAACCTAAAAAAAAAAAAGTGTATGATCACATTTCAGTTTGCATTAAAAAAGTGTATGATCCACATTTCAATTTGCATTAAGAGCATAGTTAAATATGTTTAAATTTAAAAATATATCAAATCTTACCTCAATTTATATCCATACGTATTTAGAAGTGTTTCAAATTGTAGGGTTAAGGTCAATGTCCAAGATCTATACAACAATCTAAAAGATTTCATAGTTGTCCTTCAGTTCTGATTATAATGGTCATTCGTCCAATACTATTCGAAAAACACTTGTAGAAGATGTTGTGATGTTAAAGTCAATTTTAATTTCATAATTATAATATTAAATACATAATAAATACAATCACTTATTTTTTTATTTTAAACCTATATTTATAAATTTCAGAATGAATATATAATTAATAAGTACTAGTCAGTAAAAAACAAATCTAATAAAAAGATTGATAAAATAGACTGCTAGTACAACCATTTTTGGATCATAGAGTATATTAAATTTATTCATTTAAGATAACCATTTTTAAAATAATATTAACAGCAGTTTCTGACAGAATAAAAACATATTTACAATATAAATTCATTAATCTAAACTATACCCAACCCCAACATATACCACATCAGCCCCTCCCTTCAAATAAATTATGGAATTCCTCCTATTTAAATTAAACAATATAGCTTTTATATGTCTAATTCTCCCGCTTATTTTTAAGAAAATAAAGAACATTAAATTAGATTGACCCTTGAGAATAACGAAATACCATTTCTACAATAAAATGTTATAGTAATATTTGCATGGGAAGTAAAATAAATGACATGATGAAAAATAAAATATAAAAAATAATGTTATGGTGAAAAGAATTTTATTATTAGAAAAAAGAATGCGAGAAGGTATGAGAAGAAAATTGAAAATAGTGTTTCCAATGTTTCTTTCTTTTCCATTATTGACTTAATCTAACTTTCTTTGCCCCTTGAAAAGAGTCACTCATGTCACCTTCACCTCTACCATTTTCTTCTGCTTCTTTCTCTTCTAACTTATCTTTTCTTCTTTTTAAGGAATTTCTTTCAACTTTAAAATCCTATATATTCTTTGGATCCCTTTCAAGACCAACTATATATTATAACCGAAACAAAAAAAAAATACAAGACTTCATATAACAGTTAAAGATTATTTCAGTTAATTTAAATGTTAATACGCTAAGTTTAAACGATAAACTATTTCATAATCTTAAATATATTTTTAATGTTCTCAATTAAGTCAACTTGACCTAACTTACGTATCAACACCTCTGATTATGTATGTAAGATAGTTTACATTAATTATTAGAAAAAACATACAAAATTATTAGCATCCTAAGAGCACGTGATCTATTTTATTTTATGTTTCACTAAAACATTCACTATATAAAATAAAATAAAAATTCAACATATCATTGTTATATTTAGCTTATTGACTTAAACATCAATTTTTTATTCTTAGATATATATATATGGTTTTTACATTCAAAATTAACTATTTTTTATACTTTTCAAATTGATAAATAGAACTAGAACTATTAATAAAAGCTTAACCTTTTTAACTTTTAAGAGTATGATTAGAGTACATTTTGATTACGACTTTATACCAGCAGCCATTCACTTAAAACAAACTTAAAAATGAAGTATTTTTTATTTATTAATAAAACTATTAATATGTTTGGAAAAAAAGTAAGTTTTGTTTCTCTCTCTAAGTATTGAGGTGAGAGAAGTTAATGAGAAATCTGAATGGTTTTTGGTGTTAAAAATAGGAAAGAAACAGTGTGTCACTGAAGTTGATGAAGATACGTTTTAAAAAGCGTTATCCATATAGTGGTCCCTCCTACAGCTATGGTCTTCCCATCAACTTCCTCTCTCTATCTCTTTCGATTTCTCTTATGCATCATTTTATTTTTGTTTACTCTAATAATGTCCATTAATTATCCACTCTTTCTATCTCTATATCAAGATATTTTCATTTTTATATATTTTTTCATATATAATTTCTTAGACTGTTCAAATATACAAAAACAATTAATAAAAGCATGTATGCATTACGTGCCAAAATTTGTGGATTATATTCATGCTCAAGAATAGTTATATACTCAAAAGGACAATTGACACTTGAATATCCTATTAAAGTTATAATTGACTTATATATTTACACATTTTTTTCAATTTTACTTTTTAATAAATAATTTTTTAAAAATAAAATAATCATTTTATCACTTTTACCGTTTAAGTGATATTTTTTCAAATTTTGATATTTTATTCAATTTTTTTTAAAAGTTAACTTAAACTAAAATAATGATCTATGATAAAAAAAATTAGCTGCAAAATAAATAAAAAATATTTAAAATAAAATTGTAAAAGTTATTGATATTTATTTTAATAATTATTTTCACATCCAAAATACACGAGAGAATACAACACGATCATTGCTTACCTATTTTTCATGAACCTCCATAGATAAAAGCTTTCAACTCCCAAATAACTTTATACACGTCTTGTTATTAGGTTCCCATACCCATAGATCTTTCACATCAGCCTAAATTTGGTCAACTTGTAATTCTTCAACACCTCCATTAGTTAAGGGATTGATAGTGAAAATAGACTTAAATTATTTATTTAAAGAATTAAAGTTTAAATAATTTTACGAATGACTGATATCATAACTTTTATTCTTCAAATTTCACACGTTGAAATCTATATTAGATGTACCAAGCATTTTTTGTGAAGTAGGTATGTGGGAGGTTGAGTTATGCTTTGTTCATACGCATAGACAATGGGAGGTTAGGATTCGACAGCAGTAAAGAATTAAGATAGTGGAAACATCCACAGTTTATGGGTTTGGTGGATAAAATTAAAATAATTATGAAAGACGCTATATGCTTATGTGTTATTTCAGTTAATCCAATTATTTTAGTTTTAAAAAAATATTTATTAAAAAGTATATACGTACAAATTACTTAATGATTCTGGATATTCCAGTCCAATGCCATGGACTGAAGACCTTCTTTACTTCTTTTGCTTAATATTATTATTTTTAATTATACTGATAATATTAACAAACTAATCCTCTAATAACATTCTTGATACTGATAATATTTATTTAATAGGAGCAAATGTGCCTGAGAATTCGATCCTTGTTAAGTTATACTTATTATACCTTTTATCTATAGCAATTAATACTCCCATGCAAAACTTTATATGAGAAAAGTGCTTGATAAATTGTAATTTTATCCAAAAAAATATGATCAAATCCCCAATTTGGCATATTAAATAATAAAACAATAAACCTTAAAATTGCTTAAAATGTATTCGACAAATTTTATAAAAATCAAGTTTATAAATTAGTTCGCGTAAATAAATTAAACTTAAACAGATTTAGGCAGTGAACCATGTTGAAATCATTTACGCCATAATTAGATGCAATCACTGAGGGTTTTTTCGTACGGATAAATAACATTGATCCGTTGGCAAAATGTGACCTACCAGAATACTCAATCATGGTCATGGACCTCATTTCTCTCTAGAACAAATTATTTTCTTAAATATTTTCTTTTTCCTTTTTAACACTCTGATTTGAAAAAGTTTGGTTTTATTTTATCACGGTAAAATACTCTTATTTTTTTATATAAATTTTAATTAATTTGATCGTGATATGGAAAAGAAATGGGTAAAATAAAACAAAAGTATCAATATTTTATTGAAGGCAAAAAAAAAAGGAGAAAATGAAGTTGTTTTTATAATATTAAATTTAAAATTTATACTAATAATTTTTTTTGATTGATTAAATTGCAGGGGTTTACAGTGTAAGTGTGAAGTGAGCGGTGTGGGAGTTGAAGAGAGAAAAAAAAAAAAAAAAGGAGAAAACGGGAATGGGAAGAATAAAGCAAAGCGAGAGGGTCAGAAAAAGTCATGATTTCAAAATATAAAGTTCAAAAGTGTAATAAATAATAGTCGAAAAGGAGGGTTAGGAATAGAGAAGTTTTGAAGCAGTGGTATGATGGAATGGTATATGTGTGCTGAATTCCATGCAGCAATCATGGCTCTTGGATCGTTTTCAAAG